AGTATCGAAAATAATCGAATCGTTGGGTCAGGAAATCGATACTGAATCGAATCGCCATGATGGATGTGATTTACACCCCTAGTATTCATCTGTATACTTATTCAGGAGAAACCCATGTCCTGTATTTATGGAACCATTATTTGTCCTGCACTTGCTGCTGTGGCACTTCTGGTTAGACCTAAACTTGCCTTGTACCTGTACCTGTGTAATGACAATAAAGTTGAATCTAATCTGATCTAATTAAATGATGCACAAGCCAGTGTCCTGAATAGGGGTGTAAATAATAATCATTTTGTATCGATGCATCGATCCAACAGCCGACGATCCGATGCATCGACACGTCCGCAAGAGTATCGATTCATGTTTTGTTTTTTTTCCCTCCGTTCTATTTTTATCCATTTGCTCTTGGACGTAATTCTCCCTCCCGTGCTGAGGTGGCGCTAAACCTATTTTGCCCTCCTACCTTGCTTCCTGGTTATACCCTTACAGCAGTGTGTTGCAGTGAGCTTGAAGCAGACATTTTTGATTTATGCTCAGTATTGAAGCGTGGTCTGTGCTACACGCTGTGGGTCTAGATACGGCCGCGGCGGTGAGGAAGTGGGGGGCGAGTTTAGTCCGAATACGGAGGGACATGAGGGCCAAAAAGAGCAGAGATCCAGGTGGAAAAAGGGTCCCAGCGTTCTCATGCACCTCGCTCTTCTAGCGGGTCAAACTTCACGAGTTGTTTTCCGCAGTTTCGGTCATAAAAACAAAACAAGCCGACCTCCTGTCTGCGGCACTGTCTGCGGTCAGCTACAATTTGGGAGAGGTGCGGCGGACTGTCTGTGGAGGGGGCGGGGACGTCTGGAGCCGAGGTATTGAATTGCACTCATTGCACTGATTATGTGCAGTATTTTTGCAGTATTTTTTGATGCAACTTTTCTACTTCTGGTATTTGCTTTTGTTTCTCAAAAAAAATGCATAACGATATTATAGCTTTTATTTATTTTAAATTTGAAACCTTGTCTAACCTTTAAAGTGTGTGTTTAAAAAAAAAATAAAAATAAAATAAAAATTAACCAATTAATCAAATCGTATCGTGGTGTATTCTTGAGTATCGAAAATAATCGAATCGTTGGGTCAGGAAATCGATACTGAATCGCCATGATGGGTGTGATTTACACCCCTAGTCCTGAAGGGGGCAGCAATGCGCCTGGAGGCAGCCACCCACCCTGCATAAGAAGATGTCTTTGATCGCGGTATTAACCTAGCTGCTGTTTAACATCGGCCAAAAAAAAAAGTGAATAAAAAGAAAGAAGGTTTGAAATCGCAACAGATTAAACTTTTTGTCTGCTAGGAAGTTTGTTGGGCGTGAACGCATGGAGGATCCATCACACTCACCTTCTCGCTTATCCAACGTATCCTAGCGTTTTTGCCATATTTTCTGCACTTCCGGCATACGCTGGTCTAAATTGTCAAGGGGTGATACGGGCATTAGTTCTAGTGATAACACGGACAGCAGCGTTTTAGATCAGCTACAGCTGTCTGGACTTTTGAGGAAAACCTGTGAAGACACTGTTGCAGAAATCGATTCAACTTAAAAGCATGAAGGTGTTTTTTTATATCTTTCTTGGGTTTAAACGTCTTACTGAACACTCACCTTCATGCAACCCAATATGCCAAGAATTGATCCCAGGCTCAACTGTCCTTTTGCCTGCTTTATCCCAATCCCTAAATACATATGGAAATCGGTACACATACCTGGAAGCCACACACACACACCACTTATCAGAATAAACATGGCAACAATGCTGTCAGACTGGCACAGACAGTCAGGATACTTAAGGGAGTTTTATTACAACCACCAAACTACTCATTGAATGACATAATTCTCACTGGAGAAACCGGCTGAAAAAAATCTGTTGTTTTTTTGTTCTAAAAAGTTTGAAGTCCAAAAGGTTCTGCTGCATTATTGCTTCATGCTGATCATCCTATTGTTTAATAAATCATCATTAAATCAAGGTAAATGTCCCCTGTATTTATATGGGGAACACAGTCGCCATGTAAAAATGAAGTGAGCTTCATTTTTACAAACATTTTGTGGCAGTCTGCATATTCTCATGGCAGATGAGAAGCTTGTTATAAAAAGATCTTCTTTTTTTATCTGTAAAAATGTTTCTTAGTTTAAAAATCAAAGCAAAACTCTCCGGGTCTGATTTCGGTGTTTTCTGCTTCTTGTCTATTCTGCCATGTGGTTCTTTCGTCCTTATAGTAAAATACCTCACATAGTTCAGTGATGACATGTGACAAATCTGTTTATTTCCCACAAACTTTAAACAAAATGATTGCTCTCTGCTGCAAGTTTAACTGATATATATAGTAGGTTTAAAATTTAAGTAGACTGCTGAACCCCCTTTTTTTTTTTATGGAGATGATAAGCTAGAGGGATGGAATATTTTTTAACATTTTTGCCAGACTGAGGACTTTTCTTAATGAAGAACAAATTCTGTTTAGATAATGAAAATTATCTTTAGAGTTAAATTGATTCTTTGTCACCAGACATATTTATTAGCATCCCTTTATTTGAATCCTTTAATGTCTTTGAAACTGATGACTCTAGTAGGTCACCTGTTGATCTTCTCAGCGCTATTATGTTGCTGAGAACAGTATTTTAATTGCCTCCTGTTTTATTTTGAAAATATTAATCAAAATGCTAAAATCTAGACTTTTGTACTAAATATGTTTCTGTTTTTACTTTTCCCTTTTCTCAGGGTTTTGGCTGGTTTGGGCAATCATCTTTATTTTGTGCTTCTGTTGCATCTGCCACCATCGGCGCACAAAACACCGAATGCAGCAGCAGCAACGGCAGCACGAGATCAACCTCATCGCTTACCGTGAAGCACACAACTTCCCCTCTGTGCCCTTTTATTTCAGTAAGATCCACCTCCACATGAGATGTCTGCTCTCAATGACAGCTTTTGTTCTAAACTGAAGGCTGAATGAATCCCGGACAGATGCTTTCTCTGTAGTTCCTCTCTGCTCTTTAAATTCTTTTCAGCTCTTTGCCCTTTTATTTAGCTATCTTACTAACTTGATTTAGTTTTCATCCGCCTGGCTTAAACCTCCACCAAAAAACTCTGTCCATGGACTTTGTGTAGTTTTTACTGTGGGGAGGTTTAATTCGATATCATTTATAGTCTAATTGAAAAAAAGGTAATTATGCCACCATGTAGAAACAAACCCTAAAGGTTCAAGATCACAAGCTACTTTTCTTTTTCCTCTTCTTTTATTATCAGTGCATTGATATAGATTACTATGGGGCTGAAACAACTAATTGGATTAATCATTATTAATCTATTATTGAAATATTCATCTACTAATCGACTAATTGTTAGCTGGAGTATAGACCGTAAACATACCTTTAGCTGACAGAGCAACCCATGTAGAGCAGTAGTTGTATAAAAATGAAAACATATATATATTAATATTATACAAACCTTTTGCATTAAAGAAAAAAAAAAAACGTTTCTTTGTCAATATGCTCTATCCAGAACTTCTCAAGTGGAAAAGTTAAGTTAAACCTGGACTCATTTGCCTTTATGGATGCTTAAAGGTCTAATATTGTACTACATTTGAAAAAATATATATACATTAACAATGAGTCCTCCAGAGCATTTTTTGCCGTTTGAGCAGGATAATTCCTCTCAGATTAGGCAGACAGCCTGTTCCAATCACAGCAAGCTGTTTTGGCTTTCTACGCCCCTTTCCACCCAAAGGCCGCATCCCAACAAACCCCTATCATGACAACCAATCAGAGTTCCTAATGATCTGAGCACGGAATAATACATTAGATAAAGGCCGACCTTAACCAATAGGCTGCTCCAGTCCACTCTGAGCAGATTATATGTGACAAAATCCCAGCAGCAGATTGACCAGATACCCGCTTATTGCCATTCATTAATGTTGATTAGAACAATAATACGAATTTTTCTATTCTATCAGAGATATGGATACATCTCAGTCTATTCATCTCAATACAGAGAACAGAGCATTTCTTCTAAAAATGGAACAATCCCATTTTTCAAAGGGACGACTGAAACTCTAAACGGTTAACGATTTTCAATAAACAATCCAAAAAGTACACCAACACATCATAGTTAGCCTGAGTTGCTACGGCCTCTATCTGCTGAAATGCTGCTAACTAATTTAACACAAGCCCACAATCAGAATTATTGCAGATATCCTGTTGAGAAAAGACAGTTTGTGAAGAGAAGATTATCCATCTTATAAAAACCACCAGCTTATCAAAACAGCCAAGGACACAAATATGTTTAAAGGCTATCAGGCTAAAGCACTGATGGAGTAAAGTTATTTCCAGCTCTTACCTTGAAAGATTTGTAAGAGACAGTTGATATCGATCCACTCTTCAATTTAAGATGAACCCTGTTGTCTTGGCACCCATGTTGTGAAAACAATCCTCTTTGAAATGTTTAGCAAACAGATGAAAAAAAAAAAACTCACGAGGTTTTTCAGGTAGATTTACAACTAAATTAAAATCCATCCACTGCGTCTTCAGGGGCTCAGATGAAGGCAGTTAAAAAAAAAGACTTTTGTGACCTTGATGCTGTCAGTAACAGAGTACCTGCTGTGCTTAACTCTTAGCTTAGCTGTGTTTGTTAAGATGTTTCATGTTGATGAGCAGAGAGATGGCGCCTGCTAGAGGACGGGCTCAGATGGGCAAGGAGTGTAGCCTGATAAACCAGACTAAATGTGAGATTAAATGTATAATTTAGTCTGACCCAGATGAATGAGACTTTGGAAGATTGTTGCTGAGAACAGCCCATCATCTTTCAAACTACGTCTGTGCCTATTAGCCAACGCTCTGACCAATGAGTGCAACTGACTGTGGCATAGTAAGCGCAACAGAAAGCTGGTGGGGGAGTGTAAACAAACAGCCTGTCGGTAAAACGGCAAATACATCCTTAAAAATTAATGTGCGTAGAGCCTCTTCCTGCTCACGTTTCAACAAAAAAAAACCCAAGTCTAATCCTTCCAAAACTAATTCTAAAGCTAAGTCAATTGACAACTATTCAATAGTTGTTGCCATCTTCCTTGTTGTGCTTTCTCCAGCGCCGTGCAGCTTTGTCGTCCTGCCCTCAAAACCCCGCCCACTTTGCATCCAGAAATTCAAAACACATCTCTGCGTTTTGATTGGCCCGCCAGTTCTAGGGCCTGGGGCGTTGATCGAGGGTAGACCAATCGCAGGCAAAAATGATTTTATCCGCTGGCGGGTGGGACTAGCTTACTAGGCTACAAGGAGTGGTTATTTCCCTAAATGACATACAGGGCATGCTTTTGAAACTGAGCATTAACTAAGAGGAGGAACAAGGCAGTAAGAGAGGGGAAAGGGTTATTTTATTTTATTTATTTTTATTTATTTTTTACCCATCTGTGAACCTCATATACAGGCTTCAGGACAAATGTGAATATTAGAAAACGTCTATACAGTACATTTGCAAAATATGAGACCTTTAATTCTTGATTCTATATATTTAACACTGTGCCCAAAATACTCCTTGTGAGATTTTGATACATTTTGGCATCACACCATCACATCCAGTTGCTGCATTTTTGTTATGACAATTTAGCCTCTAATGTCCTCTATTAAGTACTCAGGAGAAGATGGGTACGCTGCATCATTATGTGATGCAGCACTGCCAGACCGGCGGCTAGACCCATGCGACATTTGTCGGGTGCGGTTGCAGAAGTTTAATCAGCCCTTAATCAGCCCCTTAAGCCATTTTTATTCACACTACTGCCCTCTACTGGAAACACTTCTTGTTGTTTTTAGACCCAAAGATGCTGAGCATAGAAGTTTCAGAAAGGTTCTGGAATTTTTTTTTACCACATCTATAATGTCATAATCCCTACACTGTTGATTTGGTGGATGTGTTAACAAGCAAATAATCAAAAAATATAAAGCTGATGTATTTAACTATTGTGGAAAATGGTGAAATAACATTTATATGTAAATATTAAACAGTGCAACTCTGACTTAGAGCAGAGTTTGTGAGTTTTATGTGGATTGGCTAAAGCCTTTTAATGAAACTTTATTTCTGTTAGCCAAAGCAGTTTTAATCTCTTTCAGTGACATGGTGTTAATTTGGAAGAAATATCAGCTACTTTAAAAAAGAGTTTATGTATTTTTCCCCAGTGGATATATAGGACTTCTGACTCAGGCAGTGGCTAAGATTTAATGTTTGCTCTCAGATTTATCCAGGGCTTCATACGGCAATCGGGATCTTTCGTCGTCGGCATGCCACAGTTTTCAGGAAACGCTGAGCATTGCTTTCTTGGTCCCATGCCAACATTGCAAAACCTGCTCTCCTTGTGCTGCAGCACAGGGGGGGAAAAAAGTCTGAAATTAGTCGGTCATTTTACACCTCCTGTTGCTGTAGGGATGGATTAAAATAATAATCTGGAAACTTCTAAGGTCTGGAGAAAATCTACACAATGTACAAAAATATGCAGAAGTATATCTCCTTTGTTGTCCTGTTTTTCTGCTTGAGGTCAGAGTATGATTATCAAACTTATTTTTATTTGGGGTTAAAAAAAATACTGATTTAGACCTAATTGGAGTCAGAGCACTTCAAACACATCAAACCAATAAGAGAACATACAGAAAGCCTGGTCTCTGTAAAGATTTATATTTTTCTACCTAAGCAATCAACTAGTTTGTCGTTGGAACAGTGGTTGTGACACAGAATTTTGAAGTTTTTTCCTTGCCTTTTTTGATTCTTTATTATGTGAAACAGATGGCGAAAGACGTGGTCTTCTAAATCAAATAAGATTTAGATTCATTATCTAAATCATAACATTTATATTATCAACAAAAAATGTTAAATTTGAGATTTTTTCCTCTAGGAATGTTCAGGCTATTTCTCCATCAATATGCTGATGAAGATTCTCAGTCATCCAGGTCATAGTCAATCCGGAATAACCGATTCTGAATGACCAATTCTAGATCAATATCTCTTATTTTATTCACTACAGGCGTCGTTTGCTCTGGAGAAACCATAGGGATGTCCGGATGCAACTCATATTTTGCTCACCAAAGCTTAACAGTTGAAGTAGCATTAAAAAACAATATTTCAATTTGCAAATTTACCTGAGGAACAGAGCAGAGCCTTTGCATTTTTGGACTTTTGTCCTTTGGCCAAAAAAAAAAGAATTTCTAGTCTTTGGGACCTTCATAAAATATGGCATCGAAATGAAAAGACATTAAAATGAAATATTTAAGCAACACTTCAGGGTGTCAGCCAGGGATTTAAAGATATGAGCATTAATGTCCTTCATAAGAACAATGCCCCTAAAGAAATAAAAAAGTGAGTTTAGGATGAGATAGAAATGTTCACTCTGTTACATTGAAAATTTAAGGTCAGAGTGGAAAAGTGTGGGAGCAAGATGGCCTTCAAAACCAAACCCAGTTACTACCATTCTGTCAGGGGAAAAGCAAAAAAAAAAAAAAAATCTAGCAAACCATTGAGAGCCTCTTGTGGAAGGAAACCAAAAACATTCAACCAAAGTAGTTCAGCTTATTCCCTTTGCCTATCCTGCTGTTTAAGTTATCTGACCATAGTCGACAAACATTTGCTTTAGTTTAATGTACGCAATTAAAGGAAAACTTACTTTATGTAGAAAACCATTTTTTAAACCCTCAAAGCTGATTTTTTTTTTTCTCTCTCTCTCTCTCTCTCTGCAGGGTTTTTGCCAAACTACCTCCTTCCTGACTATGAGGAGGTGGTGAATCGGCCTCCCACCCCTCCTCCTCCTTACACCGCCTTAAATGCAAACCCATCCTCAGCTGCTTCTGTTTCCATGGCTCCGGAGCAGCAGGCGGGACACTGTCCATCCATCCAGGTCTCTCCTCTGCCCCCAGTCTCTGAAGGTCTGTGCAGCAGGCCTGCTATGGAGGAACCCCAGCCTCCCACTTTTGACTTGAGAGCGAAGCCTGATAACAAACCTGTGCAAACGGCCCACGAGCCCAGCATAATCCTTCTGTCAGACAGGCTGAATGTGGAGACGCTCACCAGCCAGGAGAAAAAAACTGGAAGTGGGGAGGACTCCTGTAAGGACCCCCTGCTGAAGGACTTCCCCCTGTCAGAGGGCTGCACTGACGACAAAGAACGCCTCCCCAACGGGAGGAGGCGGCGTTTCACCGGGGACTCTGGGATCGAGGTGTGCGTATGCGGCACCCGTGGGGGCAGCGGTTGTGGTGGAGCCGGAGGGGCAGTTCAGGACAATAAGGAACGAGAGAGCCTGCTGGGGCGCAGCGCAGGGAACGGTAACGAGGAAGAGGATGCAGGCGACTTCTGTGACAGTTGTGGTCATCGAGCCTCCCTGAGTTTGGAGGAGGATCAGGCGCCGGGTGGGCCGGAGAGGAGGGCGGGGCATGGGCTGGCAGGAAACCCACAGATTCCTCAGAATGTAAGCAGCGGCTCACTCAGCCCACCTGTGTGCCTTCTCCTCCATACCATCAGCGAACAGGAGGGCCCGGCCCACAGCTCCGACCCGCAGGGCTGAAACCCATTCCTCCCTCACACTGGACAGTAGAACAGTTTGGTGCTGAGCAGGGTTTGAAGCTCCTTCAGATTGTTTATGAAGGAGCTCATCTTAGAACATCCAGATGAGGGAGCAGCAAAATAACTGATCCAAAGATGGAGACACCTTGCTCTGCTCCATACTGCTCCTAGTAGCCTTAAACAGTGTGTTACGGCTATAAGGTTTGTTAAAGATAGGCAGAATTGGCCCCTTTCCCAGCCTGGTGAAAGCTCTCCTGTCTGCAGTCATCCTGATGTTGGGCTAAAAAGGAGTGAACGGTACCCCTGCTTCCATCAGACTTTAACATGCACAGCAGGAACATAAGGGATGTGAGGAACGTGAGCGTTCCTACGCATCGATACCGTACAGGACACGGAGAGAAGGCTGTCTGTTGTCACACTTCTGAAGTGCTTTTTTTATTTAACCATTATAAACCACTCTGCCTTCTGTTTGTGTCGCTCTGTCAGCCTTGCAATTGATAGAGTACCGTAGTTAATGTGCATTAAAAAAAAAAAAACTAAGAACGAATCAAAGTGTGAACACTTCCTGTTTTGCACATTTTCTCAAAGTGAAATATTTTGCAAAATAAAATGAAACCAAATATGATAGGTTTAGTTTCTTCTAATTTAGCCTGGAGTTGCTGTTTGTGTTCAATGTGTTTTCATGGCAAGGTGTTAGGATGAATAGATCTGTTTAAATTAGGTTTTTGGTAGAAAATGTAACATTTACTTGGTATGCAATCATTTTCCATCTGAATTAGCTGAATGTATGTAGTCAGTGCCTAACTAAATGCAGTGTGTCATTTTAAAGAACAATGATAAGCTTTTGTGAAACTGACAAGCTCTGATACAGCAGGTACTGATATGGAGAGCATTAAAGGTATAGTGGAGGGTTTTTGCAAATTTTTGAGAAGCTCCAGAGAGCGTGCACTAGCACATTTCTCCTTGTGCACGCTGTACTTAAAAGTTGCTTTTTGCGTAGTTCATACAAGCTTACTTTTCCAAAAGATTTGCAATTTTTCTACAGTCAGACTTACGGTAAGTAAAATGGGCACGAGCACGTAGTAGACAATTAGGAGGACCACTTATTTTGATGATCCACCCGGAAAAAGAATCCCCTCCACTATAACTTTAAGGTTCAGAGAGATTAAAAACTGAAATAGGCAACATCAGACTTAGCATGATGATTCAGTCACTTTAACAGATTACTACCTTCACCAGCTCCCAAATGACAACATAAATTCCACCTTAAAACCTTTTATATCAAGATTAGCTTTTTAATCAACTTTAGACAAGTTGACAAATAGTTTTTCTTTTAAAACAGATTTCTAATTTAACTTTTTTTTGTGACCTTTTGCAGTTGCACTGTTCCGTTAAAGAGAGAAATCCATGTAAACCAAACTGAACTGATTTGGTTAGTTAATGTATGTTTCGATAACGCTGGACAAACTAACTTAAGGGTTGCCGTGTTGGTTTCTAATTTTAATGATAATTTCTAAGTATTAAACTTTTTTACCTTACAAGAGCTTTCACTGGATTTCTGAGATTTGTAGTGACAGACCAACATAACTTGGTGCATAGTTTTCTATTTTATTATCAAATAAGATTCTGAAAAGTGTGGAATATAATTTGACCTCCTGCTAAGCTAACTGTTTAGTTACCTTTCACTCTGGTTACATTTTCCTGTTTTGGACATTAGGTATCTAATATTTGGCCCATTAACTCATGAGTTTATGGATAAGCCTCCACAGCTTCCCCATTTGATTAAGGTTTGGGCGTTGAGCCATTCTGTTATTAGTATATACATCTGGCTCTCCTCTTCAGCCTGGAACATGTTTTTCCTCCAGCATCAGTTGGTGTTGAACATCACCCATCCTCCTTTGAACCTGATCAGATTCCTCCTTTCTTCCCGGAGAAACGCACCCCCACAGCATGATGCTGTCATTACCATGTTTGACCGTGGGAGTTGCGTGTACAGGGTGATAGTCAACTTTTAGTTTCCATGACACAATAGGGAGTTACAAATTAGCCAGAGGATTTCCATTTTTGTGTCACCGGAGTTTCCAACCCTGCTCCTCAAGTATTCATTCCCTGCATGTTTAAAATGTGTCTGTTTCAAACGGTTGCATCACCACCTCAGCAGCCAACATGTGCTACAGCTGCCTGTTAATCATTGATTCATATAAGCTAGGTGTGCAGCAGCAACAAGACTGCAGTCTTAATGTCCAGCTTTCTTTAGGCCAGTTTTCCTTAAAAGTCAGATTTGCAGAGTTTAAGGAGTTAACCAGTGGAACTCTGCAGCTCCTCCAGAGTCGCTAAGCTCTTCTCTCTCTCCTTGTCAGCCAATTGAGGCAGCTACTCTCATTTTATACCTTGTAACTTAACTCCACCTCTTTCTCCTTCATGATACTGTTTATCACCAATGTTCTATAATAGAGTTTACTGAACAACTGGAATAATACTGCGATTTTCCTATAGGAAAATGTTCGCTCTATTTATTTAGGACCATCAAAGCTAAATGAGGGTAAAAACACAAAATTTCAGATCTTTATTTGTAAAAATTAGACTTTTTCTTTAACTTCCACCAGTCTGTAACATAAAATCCAAGTTAAATTCACACAAATCTGATTGTATTGCTAAAACAAACAGAAAGGCAGCAGGGGTGTCTTTCTCATAGGATGCCATCCATACCCTAATTACTGAAGATGTAGCTAATGAACATTTATTTTTTTAATTGCCCAGCTTCACTTAAACCACAACCATTTGTAACCTGGAGAAGGACACTGTAAGACTTTTCCTTCCTGCACCTGCAGTGATCCGCACAGTACAGCCTTTCTGAAGCACAAAAGTCTTAAACGACTGGTCAAACAGATTTATTTTACTATAGATGCGTACTGAAAGCACCTTGCAGGAGGTCGTGTCCCTGCGTTCTGCAGCACAGGGTTCCAGTGCAATGTGAAACCAGTAAGACAATTATGCATCGTGACATGGACACACTCTAGTTCTTTAAACATTAGTATTTTTTGTGAGTGAAAAATGAATCATGTACTTTCTTCTCAAAAGAAGAGCTATTTTCATATCTGCCTATTCATGTAAAGATTATAGAGATATAAAGATTATAAAACCACTTTATTACTTACAAACATCTGTGATGTATCGTAGAACCGTTTAGTTGCCTTCCTTTTTTTTTTTCTTCATGGACATATTTTACTATTATCATGGCTAATGCTCTTTTCAGGTTGGATGAATGGTACGTTTGACCAACGATGAGCGTTTGTTTGGAGATCAGGGCAGTTTTGCCAAAGATGCTTTTCTGACCCAAGTGTGTTCGTTTTGCACATGTTCTGTGAATGTTCTGATCATAAGCCATTTATTTCAGCATCTAAGATGAATGTATATTCAATAAATATACTAAATTTACAGTCTATGTTGTCAGAGTGTCTTCCTCTGCAGCTTAAGTTGAATAACTTGGAGAAACAGTCGATGCAGTAATAGTGAATCTGATGTTTTCCACATCGCTCACTGATGCCTCCTTGAATTGTCAGATTTGCAAAAGCTTAAAATAACTTTTGACACTCAATGATCTCAGGAAGCTATTTGCTGTCATTTTCAAGCGTGGCCTCACTGTGCATATAAATTTCTCTTTAGAATGTAGGCCAGCAGAGTTGTTGGAACTCCCTTATCTAATCGGCTCTGATAAATATGATGGAAAGATCGATAAAAAAAAGGGAAAATTCCTTTAAATAAATACACTAGTTTATACTATGAATTTATGGACATTTCTTATAGTGTAGGATAAATTACAAAGACCTCGATTGATGGTTAGATTTCCTGCAAACACTAATCAACCTTAAAATATAAAGTACACATTTATACAACAGGAATAGCAGGTGATGAATATATGCTGCATGGGTGATGTAGTTATAAATTATTTATTACAAATGACTTGTTTATTATATCTAAATCTGCTGAACCTAAAGATGGTTTAAAAAAAGTTAGACATTTTGCAATAAAACGATTTAAATTTATCTAAAAACGGCAAACATAGGATGGACCCTGAGTTCAGTGCAGGTGATATGAGAGAAGAACACTGGCAAAAAATAAATTACACCACTGTTTGATGGTCTCATCCATGGAGCTGCTTAAAAGCTTTTAAAGTAAAAGGTTGCTGCACCCTTTGTGCTCATAGGAGCGTTATCTTAAATCTTTCCTTCCAGCAGCTGTTAGGCTTTATAAACATTACAGCTCACATCAGATTCAATATTTTTGCTTTTATCCTTGCTCTTTAATTAATTTATACTTTATTCATTCCCAAAGGGAAATTTGGACAAAAACACACAGAAAGACAATTCACAGATATTGTACATGGGGGGAGGTGGTGTCCGAGGCCTGGCTGCCGTAAGGGCGTAAAGGCGCTGCACTTGCAGTTAGAAAGACAAAAAATAGGGATCACAATGGGTGAGGGGAGGAAAGAAAATCATATTTCATACTTTATCTTTAGCAGAATACAGTTTGAGATTACAAAATACATCAACACATAAGCAACGCAGATACAACATCCTGCAGGATGAAGACTGATGGAGGAGGATGAGAAGTTTGTGTATTATATCAGAGCATCAGTGTGGTATTGGAACAGCTATTTTACATTTATTGTGTAAATATGCAGTTGACCTTTATGCACAAATGCATCATTTTTCTTTAATATTTTTTATAAAATGTGCTCTTTTTGAGATTAATTTATATCTTGGTAGGCAATTTGTGGTAATCGTACACTTTTTCTTTTCATGGTGTAAACTTTTCTCTTCAATGCCCACTTCACTCACCTCAATTTCAACACTGTGAGTTAATAAAGGATTATTCTCTTCTATGAGCAGGTTCTCTCTGGGTGCTCTGACTCCCCCTTGCAGTGCCTCATTAATCAGTATCTATAAATTACATGATGTGACTGAAATACGTGCCTAATTTTACCTTTGTTACTCTTGACCAGTGAAGATGCCTTTCGCCACAAAATAATAGCATTCAAATCAAGGAAAATAACATCTTAAATCTCCAGAGCAGGAAAAAATAGCACCTCATAATTTGAAGTTTAAAGGATTTTCTTGAATTGTTGAATTCCCGCATCTCCACTTGTTGGATATACATGCACAACCCTGTACACGCTGCTGAGAGGGAATGCCTATTAAACGTGTGCAATAGCGATTTCAACTCTGCAAAGCTTTAAAAAAAAAAGCCTGATTTCTGCTCAATCAGGATACAAACACTGATCTTTTATATTGTTACGGCTGCAGTGGGTTTCTGCCCTTTTCCTTGCAGGGTTCTGGAGGTAGGCCTTCTGCAGGGGATCTGTTTTGCCCTAAATGATGCTTGTCTACTTTAAAAGCTGTCATACAAGCAGCAGAGAGGAGGCTTCCCTCTCTTACCTCCTCAGAACCCCGTTGGCTTGGTTCGGTTTGTATCCTGTCCTATGGTTGGGTTTTGTTAGGTTTGTTTGCATTTACTTATTTCTCTTTAGATATTGGTTTTGAATTAAGCTATTTCCTATTACCCATTTTATTTATCCCTTTTTAGGTATTGTTTCTTTAGTATGATTTAATAAATTCAATTTTCACTTTAAAGAAAATCCTTGTGTGGTCTCCTTTAATTTACCCCCACCAAACAAGCCTGGTGGACGTAACAATATGAAGTATCTTACAACCTGCAGGGATATGTAAGATGTCTTTAATGATCTTTGTTTAACTCATTTAGCCAGACCGACACTGTAAATAGATTTCAGTCACTACACTGGCCCCCTGTTAAAGGAGGATACTTTTGAACCTGGTTTTCTCTGAAGTACTGAATGCTGTTGGACCCTTGGGTCGTTAGAAACCTCTTTAAGCATTCACCTGATAAGAATTAAATCAGGTGAGTCAGCATTTAGTTACTATGATCCTGCCGTTTAACCTGAGCTATGTAGACATGGTGGCTCCTTTAAATTGAGACTGACACATTACTCACTGCAACTTTACCTTAAAAGATCAACAAATCGGTTTGTTGATTTTAATTTGTTTATATTAGCAGATTACTGTTCTGTATTTTTGTGCTATCATTTTAAAATGTACTATTATATTTCTTATAATTATTTTTTCATTAAAAAGTATGTTAAGTTTCTGTTTCGCTTAACAGTTTTTAATCAGTGCACGAACACTATCTGCAAAATCTCTTATTTTCAACAACAAAAAATACTTAGTCAAGCAAATTGTGCAAAACAGCAATTAAAATATAAAATTCCTATCAGATTTATAGTCCCCACACTGCAGATATATTAGAATCTGTCATTAAATTACAGCCAAACCCATTTACACAGTAACAGATAAAAACCTTTAGATAAATCAAACATCATTACCATTATCATCATTAATGCCACATATCTGACTGATTAACCATTAAAACAACTATTTTCATTAATTTCAGACAGAACTATTTACATACTTGCATTATATTAAACTGAACTTCCAATATTCACCACTATTCAGCGCCATTTCCCTTTTTCCTCTGAGGACGGAGCAGCTGGCTTGCTTGGTCTTGCAATGAATCCTGGGATATGTAAGGATAGATAGGATACACCAGACCCGTCCTTCAAATTGGGCAAAAAGAAGGACGCATTTTAAGGTCACATAACGAGCATAACGACCAGACCTCTCCACCGCACTATGACAATCGACCTTCGGAGGACGCATCCCATGGATTTAAACACAGCCTTGGTTTATTGGAGAGTGTTAACACTCTCAGGCTCAAATTAAGTTGTAGTTGCAGGAAAAATCTCATATTTGGAGAAAATGATCATATGGGGTAGTAATATAAAATTCTGACTTTTTTTCAGAGAGACCTTCACATGCAATGAATTCTGGGATTGTGCAGATTTGCAACAGTGGCCCGGAGTGGTAAATTAACACTGAAGACAGAATCTGATATGAACGTTAACTTTATTTGAATGTCACAAACAAAAAATTAACAAAACAAAATTCGAAAAAAAAAAATTCTCTCACAAAATTAGAGACAACTTTTTCTCCACCGACATCTCAAAACCTCTTGAGAAGGCCGTTTCTGTTAAACTGTTGCTAAAAATATAGGAAAACTAGTAGATAAAGCATGTTGCATCCATTGGTACCTGTTTGGGCACACGTTGCGAATCCATAACATTGAAATCGAGATGCCACTGGTGAAAAACCCAGAGGAGATAAAATCTACTAATTGGCATGTGTCATATCTATACACATTCAGGATTGATCTTATGTAGTATTGATTTCAATATAATGGAAATTGGTAGTGATACTTACATGCAATTGGTGCTTAGAAAATCTGTTTCAGTGACACCAAGGACTGCGCCATGTTGAAAGTGAGTCAGCAGTGCTATCTGGTGAGCCGGAGAGAAACTGTTTGTTGCAAATGCACAACTAAGTCCTTCTATTGTACTTCTGAGTAACAAAAGCTCTTAAAATATGGATGTGGCGTAATTAGCTAAGTGGCATTAGCTGTTGCAAATCTGCAACATCTGCCTGGAGAGGGTTAATGTTACATAGCACAGTTAAAAAGGGGTTTTAAAACAGAAATGTTTGTATAGTTTCATAGGTCATATTTAGTTCCAGATTTAGTTTATTCCAGTCTGTCTCTGTGGCACAAGTAAATGGCCATCTTTGCTTTACTGCTTAAAAAATGTAAAGGCTTGTTCCTCTTGCTTTGGCAAACTCCTCCAACAAATGGGAATTTGTAAAAACCGTCCCAAAAAGACTAAAAACACAAATTAAAAGGATAAAATTGTCTTTAGTCTTGTGCGTTCCATAAAAATGTGGAACATATTTTCAGACAGACTCATTTAAAACACCCTGATTAATAACTGATAAAAACAAGTTTGTGGCGCCGTGTAAAATCCTCCAGTGGAGATCGCCAGTTCATTTTTTTAATCAGAGCTTTGTATAAAGACCTCCAATTGGGTGCTTTTCCCTCAAGTTCCTCTGTGCAGATGCAGATCTGCTGGTTCTGAAGATGTCTGTGGTTAATCACTTTTGTGCAGCTGTGGTAAAGGGCTTTCTGACCCATATTCAATAAAACCAGTTTCTGTGGGTCCAAACTGGAGAGCAGAGGGTCGCTTTGTTTGGGGAAACAAGGATCTAGGATCAGGCCAGCAAAGGAGGCCGTTGGTTGAGTTGAAGAAGGTTTGATAGATAAAGATGCAGAAGCCAGGGTGAAAACTGGAGCTTTGAAGGAAGGATTGTGACACAAAGCTTATCAAAACATTTGGGAGACACTCACACTGTGTGGACAGCAGCTGGAGTTGGATTTTAATGAGCCACAACACACACGACTCAAGTGCCAGAGCTACAACCATGACCTTGTGTTAAGCCGCTCCTAACCCAGACACAATGACAGAATTCTCTTCCTTTGACAGAGAAGAAAATAGCTGGAATGGTGCTCTGTAGTCCAAATGCCTTTTTATTTAACATAAAAGCATCATTTGCATTTCATAAACAAAGCTAGATTCAAAAGTCTGGACAGAGTGCAGGGGTGGTGGCCTAGTGGTTACGGCATAGAGCCTGGAATCCTGAGCTTCTGTGTTTGAGAGTGACTCCCACAGACTGCAACTCTGGGTCCCTGAGCAAGACCCTTAACCCCACACTGCTCCCCGATGCAATGGCAGCCCACTGCTCCCCAAGGGGATGGGTTAAATGCAGAGTTAATTTAATTGCTCTGTACGTGTGACAGTGCAATGACCGTAAAATGCTGGAAAAGAAAAAAAAGAAAAAAGGAGCACAGAGCTCCAGTGTGACAATATGCACCAGTAAGGTATTGGTGGAAATCAATAAAGATCAGGGCAAACATCTATTCACTAAAACTGCTCTCTTGTTTACAGCTCAAGGCCAAACTATACTAATACTAGTCTTGATCTTTGTAATCTGGTCGTGTAATTATAAATCTTTATGAATTAAAAGATGAAAAGATCATAAAGTTAGAAGATTCTCTAGGATACATTGACCTTTGGAACTTAATTTGGAAAGGAATCAAGAGTCTTTCTTGGTGATTACTGGTATGATTCGTTGGAAATACATAAACACACACATCTAAAATAATAAGAAAACGAGTACTGATTACTTTCTGATTTTCAGATAGCTTCTAAGATATGTAAAAGTCTAAAATGAGCAGTAAAACTATGTCTGTCTTTTTTATTTAATTCACCGAGCTGTGCCTCCAGGGGCCAGCAGGGGGCGCAGCCTTAGCAGGAAGTGAAAAGTGTTTGTTCTCCTGCGGTGCTGCCATTTCACACACACACGTTCAACAGTTACTTTAAACTATATAATCCAGCTCTAACCATGGCTCAGAACAACAGGTAAGAAGTATTTCATCTATCTGTGACCTAATGTTTTGAAGTGACGTTTTACTTTGGCTGCGCGTGTTCAGGTTGCTCTCAGGTTTGTGATTTCACACTTTATTATGTTCTCCACCTTTAAAAGGTTATTTGTCTTTTCTTATCCTTTTAAGTCATCTTTGAAACGGTAACGTCGAGATTTGAACCTTGGCATTTAAAGTTTATTTTCCACTTCTTTATTTTTTGCAGTGCTTTCTCTGACAGCAGCGTTCACGTGGATGTTAAGGTAGGCTGACACATTCCCTCCTGTCCTTTTTCCACTTGGAAACTGTTTGGATTTTCTTGTTTTTTTTGTTTTGTTTTTTTTCTTCAAAACTTTATTGAAAAGTTGCAAATTACAAAACATTGACAAAAAATGTCATAATATATAAAACAGTATCTCCAAAATAAGTGTGTAGTGATGGAGTACAATTAGAATTAAGATATAACATACTTTAACTTAAATAAATAACGGAAGAGATTTAAACACAACAACAAGAAACAAAAAACAAACAAACAAACAAAAAAAAGGATTTTCTTGTTTATGTGTCACAAACTCAGACAGTTGACGTCATGGTATGCAAACACAATTAGTATCGATATCGGCATTAATGAACTGTATTGTTTAAATCGAAAGTAGGCATGTAAACCAATAATCAACTTATGATTAATTATTGGTTAACGGTAAATTATATTGCAATTTTTCCTTCCTTTTAACTGAAAGAAATCAGTAGAATCAATTTCCCCTAATTCGTAACCAGAGCCTCTGTTACCTTTTTATTCTTCTATTAATTTAGTCAACGGGGGAAAAAGTTCAAAGTACTTTATGCGTGATTATTTTACTGGAAACAAAATGTTTAAACACTGCTTGCGTTGAGCAAATGGCCACCCTTCTTTTGATTCTGTCCGTTGTTCTTCCTCTGACAATATGATCAGAATCCTCCTTCATCGAAAGCGAGCTGCTCCTCATGGCTGCAGCCAAATGTTTGCCCAACACGCAAGAACACAGCATCAATTTCAAGAAGATTTAACAGGAATAACAGAAACATAGTTGTAATAAACAAGCCATGATGTTTGCTAATACCAGCTAATCAGTTATTGTGCCACAGAACAGAAACAACAGGTTCTATATCAGAAAAAAAAAATCTGTTTGTGAGGGCTCTCATTGTGATGTGTTTTTGTTAAAGAAAAATTAAAACATTTGAAAGGAATCCAAGTTACATATTTAATTAGTTACACATTTCATTCAGGGCACAAAACATAGGAAAGGTTATGTAAACGCGTTTGTACAAAGCGCTGTCCTTTCCAGGGGATGTAATAAATGCTGAGTCATTGTTAGCATGCAGATGTTCTTTAATTACACAGCACTTTGTTTGTAAAGTTGTGCTCAGGACAGAACTGTCTGTCATAAAAGTCCAAAGGTTTTTGGACCATTTTATAATTAAATAACTGATAGTAGCAAGTAATCCTGACTTGCAATTTTCTCCCATTATTTATTCACTAATGAAATGTCAACAATCATAAAGGGACGAAACCGCTTTACTTAGTAGCTTCCACACCTAAAATCATACCAGGTCTGTTATCGGGCTTTAATTGAAAAGTTAAAACAAAATATCCATGAGGTGTCAAACTGTTTTCCCTGCTCTGCAGGTCACTGGTTTTTCTTTTTAGTACTAAATTCCTGATTAGTTATTTACAGATTTGGTTCCAGAACAAATTGCTTTACTGCAGCAGTTGCTGTCATGGCAAAGGTTTCTAACATAAACAGTCTTCCAGCCCAGTCAGGAATAGTCTGGATGGAGGTTAGATGACTGTCTGCAGCATTTGAGCTTTATTCTGATGGTTCAGGATTATTATGGAAAGCGGCTCCAGAAGACTGCGGACCTGAAGACGGGAGCCTGCATAGCTCCGGCTCAGCCTCTCCCAGCGTTTATTCGTGACGCCCTGAAGAAGGTTCACCCTGAGGTAACTGCAAGGTAATAAGAACTTTCTTTTTTTTACCCCCCTTTGTGCTGAAAATGGGCTTTGAGCTTTATGTTTCCATGAACCAGGTACTATGGATGTGGTCTGGTGGTGCCAGAGTGCTTGGAAGGCTGCAGGATACTGGACCTGGGTTCTGGAAGTGGAAGGGACTGCTACATGTTGAGTTCGCTTGTTGGGGAGAAAGGCCACGTCACCGGCATTGATATGACTGAGGCCCAGGTACTGAGCATCAGCGTTACAATAATACTGCTATAAGGAGAAAACCTGTTGGTAAAACAACCAACATGGAACACAACATGGAAGTTAAATTAGTTTAACGGGCAAATAATCTCAAGTTGTTTAAAGGAAATCATTAAATTTATGTTTGAACAAATATAAAGATTAAGAGCAGCTGGAAAATAAAACATAAAGATATAAAGAAAATATTTTTGTTTTCCTGTTTAACTCAAAGAAAAAAAATAATTTCTTTCAACTGTAATATAATACCTTTCAGTAATTAAAGCTGTTTGTGAACTGATTCATAATGGAAATAGAAATATTGGTATTTTTAAGCATAACAAAAATGTTTAAATCCAAATGATCGTTCATTAGAAATGTTCAGATTAAATGTTCGGACTTTATCCCAAAAACCTTGATATTTCTCCTCTGTTACAGCTTGAATTGGCAAGAAAATATATGGATTATCACATGAAAGAGTTTGGCTATAAGGAGCCAAATGTCCGCTTTGTCCAGGGCTACATTGAGGCTTTGGTGGAGGCAGGTCTGGAAAAGAATTCGTTTGATATCATCATGTAAGACACCATCGTTTTGCTGCATTGGTTTTACTCTTTTATACCTGCTGTTTTCGACAAATAAAAAAATAATATATTTTATGTTGCGCAGTTCAAACTGCGTGGTGAACCTCTCCCCAGACAAGAAGAAGGTCCTGGAAGAAGCTTACAGTGTGCTTAAGGTAAGCAACTTAAAGGAAAACAATATATATTTTTTTAAAGGTATAGATTTAGGCTTTAGTAGCTGTAATGTTTTCTACAAACCTTGCTTTTCTTGTTTGCTCAGGATGGCGGTGAGGTGTACTTCAGCGACATCTACTGCAATGGAAGGCTGACAGAGGAAATAAAAAGCCACAAAGTGCTGTGGGGTTGGTCACTTTTTTATTCTGCTGCCACAAAATAAAACTATTTCTCTTTACTAAGAACTCCTGATTTTATGTAGAAAAGATTATTTTGGGTAAAAAATGTGTTTAATTTAAAACAAACACATCAAACCTTTTCATAGGTTGAATTATGTGCTAAAAATACACTGAGGAAAGTTAACATTTTTAGTAATCTGAAAAGATGACTTCTACGTTTGGGATTAAAGAATAACCTTTAAAAGATTACTTTAAAGCTAAATCTGATTGAACTATAAATGCATTTGTTTACAGAATATTTTATAGCTGTGAAGAATGTTGAACAAATGATGCATAATTTATGTATTTAAGAAGCAATTGTATTACAGTAAGAAAAAAAAAAAAAAAAAAAAAAAAAAAGAAGACTCCAAAACCTTAGACTGCTGTTAATCAGACACTATGCAGACTTTGTACAGATTTTATAGTCTAAGCTCAAAGATGCCAAATCTATGATAATAAGTCATAATGTTGGGTTGTTGAGGATTCTAACCCAAACATTTCATTACAGCATCCAGCAGCTTCTAACCTGGCAGTAGCCAGATTGATATGTGTAGAACTGAGTTAAGCGCTACGTTATCAGTCTGGGATGGCTGCCGTTCAGTCTGTCCGTGAAAAAGGAGGGACATTTAGTACAATGCTTCGAGCCGATTGGGTGACGTGCCAGCTAGTACCCGCCCTCCATAATACGCTTTCAGCCGATAGCAGCAGGGAATCCTGACGTTCCAGATGTGCGCCAGGAATGATAGGTGGGGCGTGTTTACTTAAATGTGGACCATTTGCCTGATGTTTACAGAGAAGTCATCGTGTGATCGTGCAACAGTTTTTGTAGAATTAGTTTCTCTTTGCTCCATTCTAGCAATATTCTCTCTGCTCTATTCTAGCTAAAACTGAGTCAAATGCAGTATCGACAGGCGAGTCCTCCAGAGTAGACATGTTTGTAACGCCCCAGCAAGGACCCTCTGACTGTCATTATTCCTATATGTCCAACCCCCAAAATCCATGCTGGTATTGATTGATTGATTAACTTTATTGATCTCACAGTGGAGAAATATACTTGTTACATCGGCTCAAATAGTTAAAGAAGAAGACAAAGGTCCGAGTCGTTGGTTACAAGATGGACGTATTAGCAGAGTTTTTTTAGATGAATTTTTTAAGAGATTGAAAACTCAGATCCCGCGACAGTCAAGGTAGCAGCGCAAGTTTAACAAGCTGCTCTTCTAGATAATCATATCTCTGCTATCAAACTACAAAAATCTCCTAAAAGGGTGAAGTGGAAAACTCTGCAGGGTGTGCAGGCTGTGCCTCATTAACTTTTAAGGAGGCTACACCAAAATAACTTGTCCCCTTTAAGATGGATTTGCGTAGTTTCAGTGTATTTCTTTCTGATGGTGTCACCTAAGATCACTAGAAGTTTATCACACTCTGTGTATGGCTGGATCTAAATGAATGTTGCTGAGACATGAACCCTTCATAGAAGATGTTTTCCCCTTGCAGGTGAATGTCTGGGCGGAGCCCTGTGGTGGAAGGATCTGCTGCAGCTGGCTGAGCAAGTGGGCTTCAGTCAGCCGCGGCTGGTTACGGCCAGCATTCCTACCATTGACGATAAAGAACTGCAGGACTTACTAGGTTTCATTTCATTTTTCCCTTATTTATTGTTTGTGTATCTTATTTACTTTACTACTGCGCTAATATAAAATACACTGAACTGAAATTGCTGCACATGTGTTCATTATTATTATTATTAATAAACTTTATTAGAAAACGTTTAACAATACAGAAAAAGAAACAATTTGCAATGAACAATCACCAGGGGTTTGAGCAAAATAATTAAAAAATAAATAAAAAAATAAAAAGTAATTAAATAAAAGTACAAATAGTAATAATAAATAAAAGCAGATAAAGGGATTATATAAATACTTTAAATTTAGAGCAAAAAGTTATAGTTTTAGCAGCCTTTTTGTAATTGGAGGAGGATAATGTGGAAAAATAAGTAGTTGCTTCCTTTAAAAAAGAAATACAGGAGGGTTTAGTCACAATAATTTTATATTTGTGGATATAAAACTTGGCCAACAGTAACAGAAGATTACATAAGAAGAAATGTTCAGAAGGTTCTTTTTTATATTTTGTGATTCCAAATAAAACATCTTTAAAATAAAGTTCAAATTTATCATAAATATTGTCCAGAATGAAGCGACCGATCATACCTTGCCAAAAACGCCTGGTGTGTTTGCACATGTGTTCATTTTGGGGGCTGATAAGAAGGCAATGACATTTATTAGTTTTTAAACCCTGTTTTCACCTGAAGATTTTTTTTTCTCTTTGGACCTCATGGATGTATTGTCAGTGTGCTTTTGGAGTAATTTTGGTAGGCTGGCTTACAGACAATGAGCCTTAAATTTGAAAACTTAAAAAAGACTCACAATTTCAAATAGGAGAGTATTGCAAAAACTCTCCCAGTATCTATGCTTTCAAACTGAATCTCATTTAATGATTCGTAACCAACCGATAATTCATACATGTGTCATTACAGGAGACTTCAAGTTTGTTTCTGCCACATACCGTCTCTTTAAAGTCCCTAGAGGCAACACCAAGAGCTGTAAGGTCATGTATAATGGAGGCATTACTGGGGCGGAGGATGTCTTCCAGTTTGACTGTCACTACACCTTTAAGGTGTGTCCATCTGTGGCATAATGAAGGACAAAGAATAGCTTTCCACTTATGTTGTCTGTTTAAATTATTATAAACATTTACATTTTTAAACAGGCCAATGAAGCGGTGGAGGTGGATGGAGAAGCAGCCAGCATCCTGACACACTCCCGCTTTGCAGAAGACTTCACTTTCCAGCCACCAGGGGGCTCCTGTGAGCCTTGTAATAAACCTAAGGTCAGTGTCCTACTCCATACTTCAGATTGTTACGACTGCGTTGTGCTCTCCTGATGTCCCTGTTGTTGTTCTTGAACTATTGATGCAGGCTGACGTGGTGGATCCTTTTGAGCTGGCCTCTCAGTTGGCCAGCAAAGGGCCCAAACCAGCCGCAGGGGGATGCTGCAGCACAAAATCTGCTGGTTGCTGCTAAACATCACAGGGGAAGCCCAGAGAGATACAGCAGCATGTTGTGCAAGAATAATTTGCAGCTTAGACCTATGTAATTATCCTGTTGTAAATCATTTTCCAGATGATGTGTTATTACTTGTGCTTATTCCCTGCACATTTAGATTTTCTCTATTTTAATGTATAATGATTAAGGTAAGATAATGTGGATGAATGAGGTACAGTTTAAACCAACTGAAGGATCATAACAGGCATTTCCTTACTCTTTCCAAACCTTAGCGTAATGAAAGTAAATTGTTCTAAATATGCTAACAAAATGCTCTTATATGAGAAACGTGAACATTTCAAACTGTTTCTGTTCCAATTGTGGCTTTACATCGACAGAAGATGACAACAAAAAGGGAATCTTAGATTTCTATGCTTTTGTAGCTTTCCTAAAATTAAGAAGATGACTGGAAAAGAGGAAATAAATTGCAATCTTTTATAAAGCACTAGGAGATGTTTTGTACGCACTTTATCGATTCATTTTACTCGATAGGCTCTCAGTCAATCACATCCTTAGTTTAGAATGATTAAAGTTTCTTTAACAATTCAGGTTATGAGATTTGCAAAATGAAACTTATGATCATTTCCTTTATCGTTTAAAGCTACAGTGTGTAATTTTCAGCGACATCTAACGTCCAGACTGCAGACCGCAGCAACATGAACATCTCCCCCCCACCGCTTCTCCCCCCCAACAGTACGGCGAGCGTTACGGGACAAAATGTCTTCCACGACGTCCACATCACCTACCTTCTCAAGTGATGAGGTTTGTTTACATAGATAATTTTACAGATAGTATTTCAGTAGTCTGTGTAGGGTATAGATTTCATGTAGACTTAAGATAATAAATATACCCGTTATTTTTTCTACATCGTTGTGACGTTTTGGTGAGCTGCTTTGCATGGTGATATAAACAGACGAAGTAATTGTAGTCATTAGTTTAACAGCGAGATTGTGTTCGCTGGAAGAATATATATTCCCCGTTTACCGAGTCCAAGTCTTGTTTGTGGCACGGGGGTTACAAGGCGAGGAAGAGGGAGAGGAAGAGGGCAGAGAGGCCGGGGTGGGCGTGCAGCCAGGGCCAGGCGAGGGAGGGGTGCCAGCGGGGTGACTAGAGCAGAGGAGGAAAGGCTTGAAGATCTCCAAAGGAGCCGGAGAGAAGTAACCGAGGTATATATCCAGAAAATTATTTTACAGAAAATTACTGAATCATTACCTGTGAAACGTCAGGGACGTTGCTGAATAAGTATACTGGAGAGTAACAGCATCATCACGCAGCATGTTATTGTAATGGGCGATCTCGCAATCGCTAGTTTGTTGGCTCTGCGCTGCCCTAGCGCAAAGATGTCTGCCTCCATGGCTGCAAGACCCGCTCCTATGTAATTATAAATAACGAATTCTAAGGCAACGCAAATATTAAAGTTAAGAGGCTGAGCTCGTAGATGATGATAAATAACATAGTTATGTATAATATATTACATTTCTGACTGTATATCCCTGTAATTATTACACACTGTAGCTTTAATCTTTGTTTAGAAGAAATGTCTGTTTAACATTATGTCTTTTAATTATTTCAGTATTTTTTTTTTTTTCAAACCACTATAAAAACCTAAAAATAAAATGCTACGAATAAGTTTAAAATGCAGGTTATATTATTTGCTGGGCTTAAAATGTTTTATTAAAAATCCCGGAATATTTTATGGAAAGTTAGAAATAACGGAAGATAACTAATCAGGCTAATCGCATCCCATTCACAAAACATTAATGAATTTTATGTAATTGACCAGCAGAGTTCAGCTCATTGAATGGAACAAAAAAATATATGCAAAACAAAGTTGTTTTCTATTGGTATTCTGCTGCCCCTAAATAAAAAAGCTGACTGGTTTCAAAAGTACTTCTTTTTGTCAATTGTGGTCAGTGTTTTTATTACTGTTCTTAAAAAATAAGCATTGACCGTAGCTAATGGCGCAATAACACCGAACGCGTTTTGGGCGTCAAAAACGTTTAAACGCAGAAATTTGGACTATGGGTCAAGATGCTTGGATGCTCGGTGCTCTGGTTGGTTTTTTTCTCTGTTCTGTAGCTTTAAGCTAGAGAGCAGCTTGGCTTTATTTATTTTGATAAGGTGGAAAAATTGTTTTAGCATGTTTAAGCGAGAGAATCGACCACGAAGCATTATCTGTGCAGTCAGTTCATCAGGATTATGATCCTACTAAATATGTAGTTCTTGTTCAGACCTCCAGCGTACCAGCAGGTGTCAGCCCTGGGAATCCCAGCTGCAGCAGCCAGCCTGTGAGGGATTTCACTCAGCTGTTCGGAAATGAATATAGACTTTTACCAGAATATACAATTAAATATTTTTACTGGCAGGTTTTAACATTTTTCATTAATTTGGGTATTTGCTGTTTCACCATAGTTCATAAAAGAATGTTAGGGTGCAGTAATAATGATGATAGCTGACTGTTTTCATTGTAGCCTAATAGCAATCCCTTCTCCCTGTTTTTTTTTTACTTTAGATATTCATTTATTCTTCATATGCAGACAGATCTACAGAAGCGACAAAGATTTGCATGTAGTGTCTGTCTCCCCCCAAAAGACTCCTGCATCAGCTTTTCTGATTGGTTGACGCTTCCGCGTCCAGCGGCAAAAGTTCACTTTTCTGAACTCCAGTGTCAAACGCTCGGACACCAGAAAACTCGAATGCTCTACTCCCGATACTCAGACGTGACACCACCCCCCATTGACTTAACATGTAAATCAGATGCTCTGATGCCTAAAACGAGTTTGGTGTGCACCATTTCACATTTAAAGCAGTACTAAAAAAACTCCCTCCATTGGACAACATCTGCATTGTTAGTTTGAAGGAAGACCGCATTTCCCATTAAGGATCAGCGTGGTAAAGACTAGTGTTGTCAAATCCTGATCTCTCGGTCACCTGCAGTTGGATCGAACAACATTTTTTGTTTTTTCATTGGATGTGTGAAAGATGAAAAGCGACGAGTTAATGAATCTATTTATGCTGAAAATTTTTTATTTGTACCCTGTTCCTGCTCTGCCCCTGCCCACCTCAACAGCACTCATCAGCAACTCACAGTGCTGGCGAGTGTAGAGCCTCGAAACAGATAATGTTATGTTGGGTAATTTCACAGTAAAGAACACTTATAGAACCCAGCAGGAAGGTGCTGCATTGCCTGAATATCAACCTTGCACAATTTGAACAGATATACAGGCTGTGTTCTAATCTGCCAGCTGTGTCCTCCAAAGGCCCGATCCATCAGCCCATTATATCATAGCGCGGTGCAGAGGCCTGTTCAGATTGGAAGACAACCCCTGATGTGGCCAACAAATGAAGCTTTCTGTTTGCCCGATTTGAAGGATTGGTCTGGTGACTTGGATATCCCATGATTCACTGAGAGTCTAAGCAACCGTCTGGTCCTTGCTCAGAGGAAAAAGGTAAATGGCGCTGAACAATGGTGAATATTGTTGCCGCAGTTTAATGCAATACAAGTATGTGAATAATTTCTTCCTAAAGTAATGAAAATCGTTATCTTTAAGGGTGAGTGAGTCAGATATGTTGCAGGTAATGTTTGGTTTATTGAAAGGTTTTATCTGTCTCTGCAAATGGGTTTGGCTGATATTTAAGCACATATTCCAATAGATCTGCAGCGTGGGGACTACAATCTGGTATCTGCGACAACAGTGCTGCTGCTGAAGCTCCTCAAAATTTAAATTGGCAAACATAGAGAAATTTGACATTCATTCTTTGCCTGCTTTGTGATTCACTGTCATGTTGCCTGGCAACATAGCATATGCTGACTGAGGGACGGTGACAGCTAGGAAAGGATCGACCTGTATGAATCTATAGCTGAACTCTTCCGGCCTCCTTATTTTCACTGCCTTCGAAAATTTGAGGACACAGCCATCAAATTCGAACACGGCAACGGCCTCTTTAAGGGAAACAGGCTGTGTCCACATTTTAACCCTAACCCCCATAGAGTACTATATAGTGATTACACCATTTTATATGAGTGTCGGAATGTCTAGTGGATGAAAAAGTAGTGTACTTTAAATTTCCCACAATGCACCTTGAGAAGTAGTGATCATCCATGATCACTAGATGAGCAGATATATCCCAGAATGCATTGCAAGAGCTCTCCTTGACTAGCATCATTGGATTTGTTTTGGGAAAGAGAAAGAACAAAGATGGTGCAGGCGCTGTGCAGAGAGCCGGAGTCTGGTGACCGAAGCAGAGTGAAAAGTAGTGATCATCTGTCCGAGCAGTCAGTTAATTGAATTTACTATAAAGGTCACTATATAGTGAGGAGTTAGCGGTTAAGGTAGACATTCGGACACAGCCCGAGTCAGGACGACTTCCAATTTTGTAATGAAAGGGGGAAGTGACATATGCCATAAAGCAGTTTGCATATTTGCTCCGCAAAGCTGCTCCGTACTGGTGAAAGTGATATAGCCCCACTTGGGCCATGACAAAGGTATAATTGAACTATTTGTAAGTCAACGTATGATCACAAAAGTTATGAAAATATTTAATTAAGGTGTTGGTTTTAAGCCACAGTGTTTTTAGATTTTCAGTCTCTCAAAGAAACATCAAGATCCACCAGAAAATATATGACGAGGCCAAAGGATAGCTTCCACTGTGACTGTGTTTACCATACCAGGGTTTGTATACATAAGATCACTGAAGGTATTTATTAATGCACTGTGTCTCCATGAATTTAAACAAATACAGTAAGTAAACAACGGAGTGGGATGGAGAAGTGGCTAACATCTTCATCCCTTCCAGCTTTGCTAAGGACTTCAGCTTCCTGCCGCCGGGTGGCTCCTGTGAGCCTTGTTTCATCAGACCTAAGGTCAGATTCATATTTAAATTCCTTCATGAGGAATTCTCCCATTTATTTGTTTGTTTTTTTAACCACTGGAGGTCTGTATGTGTCTGGGATCAATCTGAAGTGTGTGACACACCCAGAGAGCCCTGCTGTGCACACAGTCTCAACCACACGTGTGCACCGGGACGCATACTGCACACTCACATACGCACACATCAACAGGCAAGAAGGTCAAGCAGCTGTCCCGGAGTCATGCCGGGGAACCTTGAACAGGAAGGAATGTTCTCTTCTCAGCCAATGGAATGCCATCTTATCAGCTCCTATAGTCATTTGGCGCACATACACTCACTTTCATTTTTCACAACCATGTTTTTTCTGATGAGTCCTAAAGATACCTCCATCAATAATAAATTTCATTGCATTGAAAATAAGATATATGTTTAGCTTGTTATCAGAATGTGTCCCAGCATATGCCTGATGGATGTCCCTCAACTGAACTCTTGTGATTTTTTTATTAGACATCCATAGTGCTACTTAGCAATGCAAACAGACAACAAATATGTGTCAGTGTGTATCTGATGACTGCAATCTTTCCCTTTAAAAAAAAACTCCCATCAGTTATCTTGACTAAGATATGTTTGCATATCCTCCATTAGAACAGATCATTTATCTTTATGTGCTCTACATTTCTGATGTCTTTATTGCTCTTGAATTATTGATAAAGCCTGACAATGTGCACCTCTTAAAAGCGGCCTTTCAGACAGGCAAGCAGGGCTTCAGACCAACCACAGGGGGATGCTACAGCACAAAATCTGCTGACTTCTGCAGATGATTGTGCAAAAAAATAAAAAAAAAAACGTCTTTGCAACATAGTATCAATCCATGACATCTCAATGAATGCGATTTGTTTGCTCTTACTTTTGGACGATTATTTGATTTTATAATTGAGCTTCTTTCTGATTTGTTCATTTTGTGCAAATTAGGACAAGACACTAAATGTGTCTAACAGGTTAGGACAAGGATTTCCTGCATCATATTGTCTTTTAATTCAATCACAAATGATAGTTTACATGGATATCGAATCACAAATCGAAGCACAAAAGTAAATATTTATTTTCTGGGCTTCACATAGGTGTAGCACTGCTGCCTTGCAGCATGACTCCTCTGGGTTTAAGTCCTTGCCTAGGTTCTTTCTGCATGGAGTTTGCATGTTCTCCAAATGCATGCATTGATTCTCTCTGGGTACTCCAGCATCCATCCACAGTCCAAAGAAATGCCTGTTAGATAAATTGGTGTCTCTAAATTGGCCTTGGGTGTAAGCATGGTTTTATGTCTCTGTGTTGGACTGGTGACCTGTTTAGGGTGAACCCTGCCTTTTGCCCATATGCTGCTGGAAATACGCACCGGCCTCCTGTGACCCTGACGAATAAGGACATAGATGGATATTCTATTTGTGCATTTGGGATGTTTTCTTTCTGTTTCAGATCGGTAAAACAATATATCACGGGGGAAGAGTCATCTCTTAATAATCTTAGAACCATTATTTAGAGAAAATTCATCAGGTACACAAATGGCATCTATCCTAATCAGTAGGCTTAATACCATTTTAAATGTTATGTGCTTTAGCCAGTGAATGTAAGGTTTCATTTAATTTCAATCATCATCATTTGTTCTTGTGTTTTAAAGCACCTACATCTGAAAAAGTGATGAACATAGCTATAAATAATAAAACACAATAAAAGAATAAACTATGGCATAAAAAAATGAGACAATATTAAGAATTTGTTTAAGCGAAATAAACAGGGTCACTACAAGTAAGTCCTGCTAGTGTTAAAAGCCAGCGAATAAAAGTACGTTTTGAGTCGTGTTTAAAAATTCAGCAGGGAAGGAGCCTCCCTAATGCGCAACAGGAGGCTTTTCCATTGGAGAGGAGCAGCGATAAAGCTTTCTCTTAAACCTCTGTACCTGCAGGAGAAGTTAATGTGCTATTCTAGTGTAATAAAGTACAACAGAATGTTTGCTTCCTTTTGTTTCAACAAGAAAAAAAAAATAAAAAAAATAGCACAAAACCTAAGAAATCAAACGGTTCCTTGACTTAATTCTAAGTGATATACTTACGACATGAGGGATATCTATCTGAATAAGCTTTAGAAATATACTGTTCAATTTCAGATGAAAATGAGTCTCTAACTCTCTATAACTTAAATATAATATATGTTGCACAGAGATTTATGGCTTTGTGTTCGTGAAAGACAGTTTATAACAAATCTTTAAGGTAAAGAAAACAGATGGAAGTGGTGATGGCCTCCACAACAATGGAGATGATTGACACTGACATAAAAAAAAAACATTGCTTCCCAGCATTTCAAAGGTTGGTAGGAAAAGGCACAGGAAAGCAACAGTTTTGAGAGAAAATGGGAAGCAAAAACCACCCAGTATCTGAGTGAGATTAACAGAACACAGTGCTTCAAGAGCAACTACACACAGACATGTCTACAAATCTCAGATTTCTGGGATTAAATCATTTACAAATTAGGGATAAAGTCATCATCTCTTTCCTGAATTAAGGAAATAAAAGTACTAGACTGTTGCTCAGCAGCTCAGACGGAGTTTTAAGGTCCCAGGATCTGGAGTCAGTGTGAAGTTTCCACCGGCAGGGGTCAATTGTGGAGCCTATCATCTACTGATATCTGTTAACACTTGAATTTTTGCCTGTGTGTGAGCTACTGGCACGACATGTAAATTAACCCATCTCATTTCCATTTCTTAAAATATGCTTTTTGTTAATTCTCCAATTCACGGGTCTTCAACGTTTTCCAGGCCAAGGACCCCCAAACTGATGGCGAGATGGAGCAGGGACCCCCTAATTATATATATATATATATATATTGTATGATATTGTGTTATATCAAACTGGTCCTATAGTCACTCTATTACAGATGGAGTAATGTAACGAAAGTAATTTCTCCCTGGGATTATTAAAGTATTTCTGATTCTGATTCCTCATTGATGGGACAGGTGTTGTTAATGAAACGGTACCCAGTTTGAAAGAGCTCCTGTGTGCACTGATGAATAAAAGACATCTTCTGCCTCCATTGATCTGTTCACTACAGTGTGTTTAATTCATGTTAATGTGTATTTAAAGACCTTTCAATTAGTGGGAAAAAAATTGCAGGGGGAATATAAAAAAAGTCTAAAAAACAAAAACTTTCATGACCTCCATGCAGTCCCTTCATAACACTTTCTGCAGATAGTTTGAGATTTTTTTTTGTGGTTGGTTGGTTTTGCTTGTATGCTTGTTTGAATTATAAAGTTTTTGTGTTTATTTGTTTGTATTGTAGTGTTATAATGTAAGCCCACATAGAGGAACTTAAGGAGGAACTTGCTCTTAACAATCTTATGATGACCCAGTTTGACTTTTTGTCCCCATGTGTTCAGGATTATGGAGGACCTACTCTGCCATATTTCAAAAATAAATACAGAAATAAATAAATAAATAAATAAATAAATAAATAAGCATACAAATAATTCCCCCCCAAAATATAATAAACAAGTAAATGTAGATAGAAATTATATTATAAAGTGAGACATAAATGTATATAGCCACTGACTTCAGACTCTCCTCCTGTAGATTGGATCTTTGCAGTAAATGCTAACCAACCAATGGGCAGAAGTTGACCCTCTAAAACATTCCCTTCCTCATTTGCATAATCAGGCAGAAATGCATACAGAAATGTAAAAACGACAGGCAGAAATAAATAACGTAGGGTAAAAAAAAAAAAAGTAAGAATACTATGGCATGCACATAAATAAATACTTTAAAAAATAAGTAATAAATAAATTTGAAGCATATAACGGTCAATAAATAAGGTAATTATTACAAAGGCAAATAAATAAAGAAGCAAATTAAAAGAAAAATATATACATTTAAGTCTCACAGAATAATTTAATTTCTTCCTACATTTTTTTATTTATTGTATTTTTGGGGCAATTAACTAATTATTTATTTCTGTATTTATTTATTTTTTTTAATATGGCAGAGTAGGTCCTCCATACAGGATGCTTAAAGAAACCTAGTTTAAAAAGTCACAGCTAAGAGTCTCAAGATGAATTTGCACTTGTTTCAGGAATCTCATTTGTCAAGGAGGCTGCGGAGGCCCCGCCCCCACCGGCTCGGTCGCCGCCTCTGATTGGTCCTTCCCTTCGCCCGTCTTGGAGGAGACTGAAGGTTGGATGGGAGAGGGGGGGTGGTGGTGGAGGGGGGTGAGTGAGGCACGAGTTGGCCTGAAAGCCTGCGCTGGCTGCTCCTCAGTGTCGGACACGCAGTGGGAAAGAGCAGGTCCCCGATGCACAAGTCACGGCAGCCCTGAGCGGAGATGAAGTCGGACTCCGACTGGCTCTGATTTTCCAAAGCCCTTTTCATTCAGGAGCTCGCTCGCCCCAAACGCTCATCGATATGGCAGATCCGTTATCCCCGGGACCCAACGTTGCAAAAATGGCGTCACGCAGCCGGGTCCGAGCTCTGGCGATGATTTTCCTAACTGTCACCGGCTGCTGTGTCACCCCGACGAGCGGCAAGGAGGGCTCCGAGGAGACCGTCATCATCGGGCTCCGGCTGGAGGACACGGACGACATTTCCTTCATGGATAAAGGCTACCTGCGGGTGAGCGAGCGCTCCCGGGTCAAACTGAGGGTCTACGGGCAGAATATCAACAACGAGACCTGGTCCAAGATCGCGTTCACCGAACACGAGCGGAGCCGGGCGGTGGGGGGCTTTGACAGCTCCTCCGGGGATAACCAGAGCCAGGAGGACTCATCCGGCTCGCATCCCTGCGGAATTAGGACTTCGGATATAATTATATTGCCCAACATCATATTGAATCGGAAAACATCCGGAATAGTTGAAATCGAGGTGAAACCTCTGCGGAAGACGGAGAGGAGTAAAGCGTATTACCTCTGCATCGCCACCTCCGCGTCGGCGGTGCCCGGGATGCGCGACCCGTGGTCGGAGAGCACGTGGATCTACCACGACGGGGACGACACGAAGGTGATAGTGGTGGAGGAGAAAAAGTTCCTCCTGCCTTTCTGGCTCCAGGTCATCTTCATCTCCATGCTGCTCTGCCTTTCCGGGATGTTCAGCGGCTTGAACCTCGGGCTCATGGCTCTGGACCCCATGGAGCTTCAGATCGTCCAGAACTGCGGCACGGAGAGGGAGAAAAACTACGCCAAGAAGATCGAGCCGGTGAGGAGCCAGGGGAACTACCTGCTCTGCTCGCTGCTGCTCGGGAACGTGCTGGTGAACACCACGCTCACAATCCTCCTGGATGACATCGCCGGCTCCGGGCTGATCGCCGTGGTCATGTCCACCATCGGGATCGTGATCTTTGGGGAAATCGTGCCCCAGGCCATCTGCTCCAGACACGGCCTCGCCGTGGGAGCGAACACCATCTTCCTCACCAAGTTCTTCATGCTGCTCACCTTCCCGGCGTCCTACCCGGTGAGCAAGCTGCTGGATTACCTGCTCGGACAGGAGATCGGGACCGTGTATAACCGGGAGAAGCTGCTGGAGATGCTGCGCGTTACGGACCCTTACAACGACCTGGTGAAGGAGGAGCTGAACATCATCCAGGGCGCGCTGGAGCTCCGGACCAAAACCGTGGAGGACGTGATGACGCCGCTGAGAGATTGCTTCATGATCCCCGGGGACGCCACCCTGGACTTCCACACCATGTCTGAGATCATGAAGAGCGGCTACACCCGCATCCCGGTGTTTGAGGGCGACAGGTCCAACATAGTGGACCTGCTGTTTGTCAAGGATCTGGCCTTCGTTGACCCGGATGATTGCACGCCGCTCAAAACCATCACAAAGTATTACAGCCACCCGCTGCATTTTGTGTTTAATGACACCAAGCTGGATGCGATGCTGGAGGAGTTTAAAAAAGGTGAGAGAAATGCTCTGTATGGAAGGCAAAAAGCGCCACAATCCAACAGATTCTCAATGATTTATCTTTGGCCAATAGCCACTTATCACACGCAGCTCTGCTTTTCATCTATGATCGGTTTGTTTACTATTTGGTTTATATATCTTTTAAGATCAGACACTAAATCTCACTGATTTATCCATCTATTCTTCTCCCAACTTATTCCTCTAGGTTTGTTTTATACTTGATACTACTCTGTTTTTCCCACTGGATCTTCTAGGTCAGTACTTATCAGGAATAGGTTGTTATGTACTATAATATATATATATATATATATATATATATATATATATATATATGTATATGTATGTATATATATATGATTTATTTGCTTTAAAAAAAAGGCAATCACTATAATAATATAACATCTGAACTGAAAAAAATAAAGCAACCGTTTTTGACATTTAATTAATCATATTTAGTGACTTTAACACCATTGTTTGATGTTAGCAGGGTAGGACAAAAAAAAAATGTGTTAAAGTCACTAAACATGATTAAGTAAATGCCAAAAGCGGTTGCAACTTTTTTTTCAGTCTGCAGTCTTGTTTCTTCTTATTTTGATTCCTAGTCTCCAACATGTTTGTAAAATAAATGCTGGACATAATAGTAGTACCAAATTATTGTGGAAATTTGTGTTATATAATTACTCGAGTCCAACAGGATGATATTATGTGGTTTGCTAGTCTGGCTGCTCAGTTAAGGCCTGTTGTCAGCATTTTTAACAGACATACTGTAGTAGCTGTAGGATATATAACTCTACTTTTTTTTTCCAAGCCATAACTTTCCTTATCATCTTTTTTTTTTCTTTTTTTTTAACAGTGTCTCTTGGCATTGCCGTGATGCCAAAAAGATCCCATCAGATTTTACTTTCACAAGTGGAGCAGTACGGGTATTCCCAAAGTGTTCCCTTTGATTTATGCATATAAATTGCTTTATTATAATTCATGCAGGGAGTTTTAAAGATTATATGGAAACTGCAATGTAGGTAGGACAGGAAAGGAAAAACAGAAAAAAATGGAAAAGATGAAAGAAAGATGGAAACCCATTTAGAAATCTTACTATGGTGAAGGTTTAGTATCATGGGCGGTTCTAGACCGGGGCCAAAAGGGGGCCTCTGTACGACGGGTACTGGCCCCATATTTAACACATAAATATTTAATACATAAATGTATTATAATTGAATAATGATTGTGATCCTTTCTTATCTTTACAGTTTTTTTGTTTTATTTTTTGACAATGATGTTAAAATTAAGTTGTTGCATTTTTAGCTTTAAGGATGTTAAGATATGATCGCATTTTTAATCTTCTTTATCAGAGGTTTCAGGAGAAAAAAAAATAGCTCTTTAGTTTTCTTGATATTTGAAGCGACAAACTACTGGCCTCCTTTTTTTTTACTTTTTGGCTAATTCTTTTGGTCAGTGACCTAAGGAATAAAAAAAAAAACCCCTTGGTAAAGAACTATTCCTGAACTTTGTCTAGAACTACCATTGGGTCATATGGAGCTAGGCCCATGTCTAGTAATTACACTTTATTACAACCTATTGCACACTGGTAAAACATTTAACTTATTTGGGAAACACTACAATTATGTCTTTCCAAGTTTCTGTTTTATAATTAAACAGTCATTTTATTGATAGCACAGTTGTTATTATAGCCTTAGACTAATCTCAGCAGAAAACCAGCAAAGCAATGACAAAAAGAACAAACTTATGTCTAAACTGGCAGGAAATTTTCTTACAGAATATGAAAAAAAGGTCCATGATCTGCTGCAATAAGACCCTGTGAAATAGTGAAGTGAGTTCTATATGCATTTAAAATATTGCTGCAATGCTAACTTTATGAAAAGCGACACAGTGATTGGTTTATTTATTGATTGAATTGTGGCACGTTTGGATCACCGTAGTTCCTGTATTATCTGTACATGTGAGAGATTTTCAGTATACTGTGAAACCATCACCTGTTATAGAATATGATGTTTTAGGCGTCTGCTTTGCCTGCAGGATAAGGTAAGGTAGAGAGATGACTTATGTACCGGTAATAGCGAAGCAACGCTGACCTTTCATTATACTCTGGTTGCCTTTGTCGCCCCTGCAGGCCAAGCTTGTTTGTCTTCAGATAGTCTAAAACCTGATTTTCAGGGATAAAATGAGGAGAAAGTGTTTCCGCCCTCCTTTTTGTAAGAAATGTCTTGTAGTGAAAGCATAAATCAGAGGAGCACCACGTTGAGCTTTGTTTCAGCCTCATCAGCCACATCCTCAGCCGGTAACTTCCTGTAAAAGGGGAGCGGGAGGTGCTCTTATCACTCTCCATCACTTCCATTCAGTGTTAATGTTCACACTCTCCCACTCTCCTCCAGCCCTCCTCAGCCTCTTACCTTGCCTCTCTCTCTCCCTCCCTCCCACCGAATCCTCCCTTTCATGTCTCCCCCACCCTCTCTCTGATTTGTAAAACCGTAGGACATGTGGGAATGGTGCAACAGCGGTGCCGGGGTTATCAGGTGAGGGCATCTTGTTCAAGAACTTGCTTAAATCCGTCTCTGTGCTTGCATCTAAGTGATGGTGGCGATAACTGCTTTTGTCCAGCCCTGGAATGCAGTTGAGTGGATAATGAATAACAGCCTCTAACACCCTTGAGCCCCCGAGTGTTTGTCCGCGCATGTCGTTTGACAAAGATGTTTACCTCACCTGTAGTTTATTTGGTGATTATCTTATGTTTTTTTGCCTTCCACTCTCTCTCTGTGGTTGTGTCTGACTAAAACAACTCCCGTTATTCCTGCTGGATTTAATACAGGGCTGCCTTTTCTTTACTTCTAAATGCAAAGCTGTTGGAGGGACAGCCAGGCGCACCTGTCCGCAGCTCTTTTACCAACAGCTGAAATGTTGGAAAAAGCATGATTGATGTCTTGCATGCTCATTAGAATAATCACTTCACTTTAAGAGGATTAATCAGGAGGTAAAACAGAACAAATCATTCAGCTCCATTACCAGAAATTAGGTGAAGTCCTCTGTTGCCAAATGAGTATTACGTAATGTACTATTTGTTTTCATCACAGTTTACTGCTTGCAGACAGGCACTGTTATTGGGAGGAAACAAACTACAGTTCTTTGGGGTTATACTTTCAGAGTGTTGTTACAACTAAGTACTGTAAAAAAAAAAAAACTATTGATACCCTCACCCATTAAAATGTTTCATATGTTCAATATATTGCACTCAAATGGACTCATCATAAGTCTGTAGATCTGCCTTTGAATATGTTATTCAATTCAGTTTATTTATATAGCGCCAATTCACAACACATGTCATCTCAAGGCACTTTACAATTCAACCAGATCATCCAGACAAATTGATTAAAAGTTTTCTATCTAAGGAAAACCAGTTGATTGCATCGACTCATTGACTCAAATACAATCCCTCACACTAAGCATGC